TTTTTTTTTTTTTTTTTTGAAATGATAGACAATAAAATCCTTTTCACAAAGAAAAATATTAATTTCCATTGTTCTATCCTAGTATACTGTGGTATACCAGGATTGTGTGCAGGGTAACCATAAGACAAAGACAACAAGAACTTTACACAAACCTCAATGTATGAGGAAACAAAATTTATTCTGTGTAATTACATCCTAGTAGGTCTTAAAACAAGAGACTCATTGGGTTCTTTTATGGTATAAATACAAAAATCAAATGCGTATAAACATCAAAACAAACAAAGGAAATATATACAATTGTCTTAGTGGTCGTACTACTCCCATTTTCATATCCTTTGTATAATTACAATAATTGTTCCAAGCATGGAGAAAACACTACCATTAGATATGATGTTCGATAAAAATAAAGGTCTTACACTTGCCCTTAACAGTTCTCTTGGCACTTGGCATTAATTCTTTACCGATGATTGCAAAACTTTTGTGGAGGAACTTGGATTGTCCTTTTTACTTAGTCCGACTTCCTAGTGTCCATATTGTTTTCATTGGTAACCGAATTTCACTCTCACTTGTAGCATGTGTGTAACAAGCAGGAGACTCCAAACAAAAAAGATGTCTCCTCGGTGAACACATCCAGATTTATACCTCCTGCCATTAGTGTGTATGTCACATGTGGTCCAAACCTCAACCAATCAGCAGGTACACACTATGTACCTTAATACAATGTGATATCCCAACACAAAACAGAAAAAAATATAAATTTAGTACAATATATGACCCGATACAGAACAAACGGAACATGCACAACAGAAAAAGTACAATAATACTAGTGCTGTAGCACTACACCATTTATTAAGAATTGTTGATTCTATATTATGTTAAAGTTACATGCATACAAAACTTAGATAATTAAAATATCTGTTTTAAGAATAACAGATATTTTAATTATCTAAGTTTTGTATAATTTCAAAGTATACAGTATAGTAAATTGATTCTTAAAAACTCTGTAAAGCATATCATAAACAACAGAAACATCATATTAAAATCAACAAAGAAAAGTAATTTTTATATTGAACAGTATATTATATTGTTCATGTATAAAATTAACTTATTATTTTTGGGTGTAAGGAAATTTTAAGAATTGATAGAAAAATTTAATAAAACAATAAATTTCAGATAACTCTATTACAGGAACATTTCAGCTTCTAATATAAAAAAATGTAAATCTTTGTAGTATATAAAGTAATTATAAATCAAGTGTAAATTATTATTGTATTCAAAAATTAAAATGAAAATTTATGTTAAGATTTTTCTCTCTGCTTGATACATTTTTTTTTAAAAACAAAAAATGCAAATTTAATTAAAGGTATAATAATAACAAATTGAAGACACAAGCTGAATATCTGAATATTTATCTATGGAGTTTAAAAAAAAATTAATAATTTCTCTGCTAGTAACTTTTTTATTTAAACTAAATTTTTATTTAAATTTAAAACAAAGTATATATTAATTTGTAATCCATTTAAAAAACATTGTTTTATTTTTTCAGTTTTGGCTGTTTTCTACTAGTTTTGGCTATTAGTTTGGGAGAAACTCTAAAGGAAAACAGAACTAACATATCAGATATACCTGTTAGAGAAAATGTAATTTTTTCACAGACATCAGTATGGAAGAATTATTTTCCAGGTGTTTTGCACTTATAATAATTATAATAATATCAAAGTCAGATTCAAATTGTTAATTATTCTGTAAATAAAGCATTGTACTTAAAAATTATTAAAGTTTTAATTTTTCTGTTTTTATTTTAAACCATTGTATTTTAATGATATTTAACAATAAATTTTTTATTTTATTTATTTATTTTTTGTTATTTTATTTGCAACTATTACTAAAAATTCAACTACATTAAACTTATAGATGTGTTACTGATATGTTTTATCTTTCTTATCAGATTTAATGTTAACTTAAATATCTGATATTAATATTTATTTAATGTTAATATATTTTTTTTATAAAGTAAATGTAAAATTCTTTTTTAACATTGCTTCATTAAAACATTTCAATTTATTTTAAAATTATTTTGGATTTAAATAAGCATTCTTAATAATGATAACTTGTTTATGTAACTAAAAAAATATTCAATATTTGGTATTTGATATTACTTTCCTAGTTGTTATAGAATATAATGTAGGGAAAATATTATGATTGACCAAATTTTGACTCTCCTGATTTTTTGCATTTCTTAATACAGTGGAACTCAGATATAATGTAACCTTGGTTTTATTGAACCAAACTGTCTAGTTCCAGCAAATCTGCAATGTCTTTAATGCATTTTTCATTGGATATAGTGAACATGGTTATAATGGAAACTCTGTTATATTGAACCAAATTATTCTGAACCTCTATTTGAAAGACTTCAATTACACTGAACTGCCTCTAGTGAACTCCAAAAATACCAGGTAAGCCATGTGCTGCTCCTTTTCCTAGAAAACATTTGTTGTTTACTAGAAAGTACAATACTGTATTAGTTACTGACATTAACATAGCCAATAACTCACATTCCTCATTAACCTAAAATTCTTCACACTTTCATACTCAGTCATATTTGCTGCTTTGACAATGATCTTGCTACAGAAGGAGTCCTTATAGATGAAGAAATTTTGCAGTCTGTGATTGCCCCAGAAGAAAAAGAGGAGGAATAAAAAAAAAGTGATGAGTGTGAAGCCATTTTTCCTATTCCAAGTACTGAAGAGGCCAAGAAGGCATTGGAAATAATACAAATACAGATTTGCCAAACTTCAAGAAGAATCAGATGCAGATATACAGTATTCTTAAACAATGTTTGCCAATTGGAAAAAGTGCTAAATGAAAATCTCATTAAGAACTACAAGCAAAAGTCAATTAGAAATTTTTTCAAAGTTGTTCAAAATTAGATAGTCACAAAGGATGAGAAAAGTTCTTTATAAATGCAGTTCTGAATATTGAGTGAATTATTGCATCTTTCAATGCATTTTAATTGTTCTTTTGATTCATGGTTATAATGAACTTCAGATACAATGAACTAAAACTAGTAGTCCCATGCCTGTTCACTATATCATAGTTCCACTGTATTTTGACATTCCATGTACCCAAAAATATTTTTTAA